AGGAAGCTGAGACTTTATGAGAGGCCTGTGAAGCGAAGCAGAGTCCTGTTGAAGATTTGTGACCCTGAGAGGGACGTTGCTTACGCCGGAGCAAGAACGGCTTGGTTAAGCTTGGTGCAGCTAAATTTGTTACCTTGAGAGACAGCAGAGAATGGAAGACCTGTTGTCTGAGAAATAAACTCACGTCGGAGAAGTCTATTAAGGACTGTTCTCCCATGGGAAGGGACCCCCATAGGGAACAGGGGTGGACTCAAAAGCCATTATCCCCTGCCACCCTGTGAAGATCCATGGTAGGCAAATGTCCCGTTGTAGTCCATAGAAGAGAAGACCTTCAGGGCCTGAGTAACCCCCAGCCTCTGGTCTTAGCCCAGGAGGGGGGTAGGCCTGGCCCCGGAGGATGACATAGAAAAAAGAGAGAAAGAAAAAGAGTTCCAGCTATGACAAATCAGAATTTTCATCCTAGGATAACAGAAGAAGAACTTTAGAATGCTGCAGAGTTATTAGAAAGACCTAAAGCTCTGAAAATGGAGAAAGAGACTGGACTGATAAAAAGGGGGGAGAAGTATTTCTGTAAATACATAGTACCTCTACTTAAATAAAATTAGTGTAAATATAGTTCTTTAGTAGTTTTTATCTTACTAGTAATAAATCTTAAAATTATTCCCCCAATCAAGTCTCTTTTGTCTGCATAAACCTTCTCTCAGTTTATAGTAATTGGCGGGGGGGGGTGGCAGTGGTGAGAGTAAATTGACCCAGAGCAAAACCATAACAACACTCTAATTGTATCATGGACATAAAATAAATAGTGAGGTAATGTCACTTGAATATTTTATAAACTTATTCCATTAGAATGGACTATAAATTATTTTTAAATGAGAAAAGGTAAACACATCTCTTCTTCCTTCTCAGTGCATTGGAAAACAAACCAACAATAGCTATATAATATGGAAATTAGCTGAACATCTTAAAGAAGGTTTAGAAAGATGTAAAGCATATAAGTAATATAATATGTTTAATATTACTATTATATAGGAATAATACATATATTCCATATAATTGCTATAATATAAAATCTCTTATATCCACATTTTATAGATAAATTAGATTACTTCAGCATTTAGATTCTACTTATTCTAGCATTTCCATTGTTTTACTTAAAAAAAGTCAATCCAGTTTTTACTGCAGACACGCTGGAACTGCTTCTAACCTTATGGATGTTTGGAGGGGGTAGTCCAGACCTATTGCATCATACACTAAAATCACTAAAGAATCATCAGTCTGAAATTATCTTCTTCATTATTACTCTCTTTCTAACTTTTACAGTGTTGGAGATTGTGAGTCACGTGAGAGTGAGAACAAGTCATCTTACAGGGAATGGAAAGCAGCATTTGCAGAGAAAGATCAACTGGATAAGTCAGGACCTGGAAAATATCCACCTGGGACTTTAATACTGTGATTTATGTTAAGGGAAATAAACCCACATGTGGGTTTGTTCTCCATCTTATGTTCCTTGTTCATGGACTTTTTGCCAAGCAGGCACAGTAACAGTTTTCCCCTGGGTTGAACTACCGTGAGGTAGCAACCAATCAAATCGTTCAGTGGGCTCTAGCTCAAAGCCACTCCCCAGTTACCACCCTGTTCAACCCCTTCATGGTTATGTATAACCTGTTATCCTATTGTTGTAAGAGGATTTGCATGCTCCTCCCTTCCTCCACCCAAGTTCTTGTCCCTTCTATCCCAAGCCCTATTTAAACCCTCCATTTTCTCAATAAAGTTAGATCGGCCCCGGCTATTACACTGTGCCTGTGTCTTGCGTCCTCCTTACGTAGTGAGATACAGTGTGCTTGCCGCACAGCCAGTTGCACTCTCTATTTTAGATCACACGAGAGCAACGAACCCCGAGCTGGTTGGCTCCCCTCCCCGACAACAAACTGCGACATTACAGTGCTCATAGCTATGTCTTTCTATGTTCTTCACTAGGATAATATTTGGCTTACTTTACAACAAATATTCCTATAAGTGAAAAAACAATCATAATTACCAAACCATGCTAATGGAATATGTGTTGACGTGATGCCAGACACAATAAAAGGGAGTAATTAGGAAAAACATTTTAAGATGATGCACCTCTAGATCATTAGTATTAAGCATGGAACAACTTCCCATTTAAACACAAAGCTGATTTTAGCAGATTACAGCATGCACTACATTTAGCATGGCTCTAATGTCGCTATGGTAACTGTTCTGGCTTAAATATAGCCGATTGTGTTGCTTCATTCCAAATTATCCAATAATCCTTTAAACATTTACAAAACTTCCCATAGCTTCTCCATACTTTCATCAGTGATCCTGTACTAATCCTGACACTATCCTGTATCAGTGATACTGTTTAATATTCATCAATGACATGGACAGTGGGATCAAGTGTACCCTCCACAAGTTTGCTGATGACACCAAGATGTGTGCTGAGGTTGGCACACCTGAGGGATGTGGTGCCACCCAGAGGTGCCTGGATGAGCTTGACAAGTGAGCCATGGGAAACTCACGAGGTTCAAGAAGGCCAAGTGCAAGGTGCTGCACCAGAGTCCAGGCAACCCTTGCTATCATCACAGGCTGAGCGATGAACAGATTGAGAGTAGCCCTGCCAAAAAAGACTTGGGGCTGCTGGTAGTTGAAATGCTGGATATAATCTGGCAATGTACACTCATAGCTCAGAAAGCCAATTGTATGCTGAGCTGCAGCAAAACCAGTGTGGCCAGCAGGTCAAGAAAGGGAATTCTGTCCCTCTACTCTGCTCTCATAAGACCCCACTTGGAGTGCTGTGTCCAGCTCTGTTTTGGTACAGGAAAGACGTGGACCTGTTAGAGCAAGTCCAGAGAAGGGCCACAAAAACAATTACAGAGATTGGACACCTCTCCTATGAGGAAAGGCTGAGAGAGGCTGCTCAACCTAAAGAACAGAAGGCTCTATGGAGACTCCATTTTAGCCTTTCAGTACTTGACGGGGGCTTATAAGAAAGATGGTGACAAACTTTTTAGCAGATCCTGTTGTGATTGGGCAAGGTCTAATGGTTTTAAAATAAATAGAGTATATTTAGACTACATATAAGGAAATTTTTTAAAATGAGAGTGGTGAAACACTAGCACAAGTTGCCCTGAGAGGTGATAAATACCCCATTCATGGAAACATTTAAGATCAGGTTGGATGGGGCTCTGAGCAACCTGATCTAGTCAAAGATGTCCTTGCTCACTGCAGAACAGTATGATTAGATGATTCTTAAGGTTCCTTCCAACCCAAACTATATTATTATTCTATGATCTTAGGAACTTATAATAAATCTGTAGTTTTCAGCAATCAGATTTTAGCATTATTAAGACAATAAAATCTCCAACTCCAAAAAAAAAAAAAAAAAAAAAATATCAGGGGAAATAAGAAAAATATTGAGAACTGTAGGAGAAATAGGATACATATAGTAAGATACTTTTTATATCTCTGATTTCCAACCTAACACTGATTATATTATTCTATGAGATCAATGCAGAATGCTTCCACTGCTTTCTGCTTATATTCTTCTGCTTCATCTATTACCAGAAATCTATGGGAGAACAGATGATACATATACATGACTGTCTGTAAATGTAAAGTTATACCTGTATTTGCATGTTTATTGTTCAGTAACAGACCAATTTCTTGCAACTAAAGCACAAATACATTATTAGGTGTCTACTAGAGTCTCTTACACAAAATCAGATGGACAGACTTTAATGTTCTGCAGAAAAATTGCATTAGCTCCTCTCCTTCAAGATTTCAGATTCTGGTCATTAGAACCCCTAAGAAGAAAACATTGGCACTGATGATTGTTGGGCATGTCTGTGCATGAGAAAGAGCCAACAGGATACTCACATCTTGTGCTTCAGACAGTCAGATATGAGCACTTAATTTGATACAAAGCTGCTTCACTGCCATTTCACAACTTTTAGTCATGTGGAAATGTTAGAGAGTATTCCAGTGATATAAATCTACACATATCTTCAAAACAAAGACTTTACATATTTGCCTAGCATAGTTAACCACACATTTTTATTTGATAGTTTTTCAACTGATCAGATGCTACCTAGAACTTCACAATTACTAATATACTGCACTGTCTAGCATCTTATGACACCAAAATAATAGTGAGATTGTTTTCTATCTCCGGAAAAGAGTTCTGAAGATAATAACCATCAGTCATCTGTGAACAGATCTGCATTTTTTCTAGGCAACATTTTATTGCAATGGTGCATATGTCAAGCACAAGACATTCTCAGAGATTAAATAAATGAAAAACTGCATATGTAGCCTGCAGAGAAATCATAATACAAACTTCCCCAATTTAATTAATTCCCAACCCCAGAAGTATCATTTTTTACTCAGTACAGAGAATGTAGATTTAGTATTATAATTACTAAGCCCTAATATTGCTAAGAAAACAGTTTTAACATTAGCTAACATAAGATGCTAATACTTTCATACATAAGAATATGCAGTAAGACTAAATCATAACCTGTTTAGAATAAGATGGCATCTCTTAGATGTCTATATATTCCTGTTTTACTGTGAGGTTGCCTTTTGCTCATGACTTTCATCATCAGAGTACAATATCACAATAAGCTGTTCAAACCACAACATCAGAAAATGTTCTTATATCAAGTTTAAATGTGTAACATCAATAAATGTTCTGTTACAGATATACCTCTTGAAGGTGGAGGGAATTTTTTTTTTTTAGTTCTGAAAAGTGAAAGGGTCCAAAGAAAATGCCTAAAAAATGTTCATTAACAACATGTAGAAAATATCTTAAATATCCTCTAATATCTTTCCAAATAGGCACCAAAAAAAAAAAAAAAAAAAAAAAAAAAAAAAAAAAAAAAAAAAAAAAAAAAAAAAAAAAAAAAAAAAAAAAAAAAAAAAAAAAAAAAAAAAAAAAAGAATAACGTGAGATCTTTACAATATCTCTGACTTACCATATTGATGGTGCTTCTGTTCCACTGATCTCTAAGAAGTCATATCCTTCCTCTAACTGGAAGTCAGTAAAGACCAAAGCAATGGTGTCTCCTGGTTCAGCCAATATGGTCCAGGTACAATCAGCATTATTTTCATACTCAGAAGGGAAGTGCGGACTTGAAATGGTTCCACTTGTTCCACGTAGTGTTCCTCCACAAGCTCCTTCAGCTGATGAACAGAATATCAAATAACAGTGAAACTGTGCTTTAAACGAGTGAAACATCATCCTGGCTTCTGCCATAGCAAACTCAGCTCTTCTCTTTGCATAGAATACCCATAAATACGTGCACACACAGAAACAAAATATTATCCAGGTGAATGAAATGAATGGAACATTTTCTGGCTTCAAGCTGCAAAGGTTTTTGTTTTGTTTTGTTTTGTTTTTTTTTTACTTTTCCTTATTGATGTCACTTTAGCACCAGGCTAAGCAAGAATGAAGGTTAGCAGAGACACCTAGCATGAGCCAATTTGGAGAATCTGGTTCTGTGAAAGTGTGCACAGAACAAGCCTAAAAAAGAACTGGGTAAAAAAAAAAAAAGCACAGAAATACACTTAGTCTCTCTGTGATACAAATTTAGAAATATTAAACATTTCTTTCTAAATACCTCTCTCACTCATTTCTTATAACTACAAAGAACGGAAGAAAAAATATTCTTATAGATTTAAGTGAACTCCTAAACCAGAAAGCAATAATAAAACCACACTATCCTTTCTTGGATTTTTGTTCTGAATCAGGATCTACACAGATGGCAAATGAATGTAGAAGGTTTTGTTGCCAGATGAATCTTCCAAGGTTCATTCACCATCATATATATTTTTATTGGTTATTATCAAAATTTTTAAAAAATACAGAGCATAGAAGGATAATCTTTAAAAATATGCTGATTATTAGTAGCATTTGGTTTTAAAACATACAACTAATACCCCCAAGAAAATATGTTATCCATACAATTCATTGGCATGAGAAATTAAAAATTCATCAAGTGGTTTTTGGTGTTTTATAATTGTCTATAAAAGCTAAAGCAATAGTATTTAAAAATACTTCTGCATAGGTGAATGACTAGAAGAGAAGCATTTCATATTTATCATCTTTAGTTATTGCTATTATCATTACATGCATCCTATAAGTGCACGTGAGGATTTGAAAACAAAGAACTTAGAAAGGTGCATAACACAAGGAACTTATAGTCTAATTAGCATAATAACTAAATAGCTAATTAAGACAACAGAGGGGTAGAACTGCTCTTCTCAATCACAATTGAAAGCCTGTCAATGAAAGCGAGTTTTAAAGGAAGATTTGAAGGAAAAAGGATTCATGTGAATCAAAGGAAGAAGAATACTGTGGTTGGATGTTTAAAAAAAAAAGGAGATTGTTAAAAGAGGATAAACAGCTAATAAGTGACTGAAATAAAAGAAAGAAAGGCAGAAACAGAATAATTTCTTTAATGTTTAAGTAATCTATGATTATTAATTTGACTAAAAGGAAGGGAGAGAGCTGATGAAGGGTTCAAACACTTCTACATGCAAAGTAAATTTTGATATACAGAAATGTAACATAACCTTGGCTACCAAGGCCTTATTGATTTCATTTCTTGTCACACAAATTTTTCAGAGGAGGTAAGTCTTTTCAGTAAATTCCATATTTTACTTTCTAGATCCTGATATTTATGATTTTTTTTTTTTTAATGGAGGAATAAAGGTGAAATAGATCTACTCTTCTAATAGATTTCTTTTTGTCTGTGAAACAGGCCATTTCTGTGATTCCTTCCTCAATATCTGGCTTTTTGTATGGTGAATACTGAAAGGGCCATTGTGCCTCTGAGGAATGGAAGGGGTAAGGAACGGAAAATTAAAGAATCAGAGATAGTCTAGGATCAGAGTCAAATTTCCTGGTGTATAATATATGCAAGGATTAAAATAATTTGAAAACTACTGTAAATCTATAATAAATCAGAAAGAGGAATTATTGTTTGATTTACACTGATATCTAGAATGACTCTTTTTTCATGTTTTTTGTTGTGGTGGTTTTTTACTTTTTTTTTTAAATTGAATAGCTTTCTAATACTTCATTTATCATCATCCAACCTAGCAAAGAAAAACAAATTTACTTCATGCATTCTGTGCCAGTACTTTTAGTTTCATTAACTAAATCATAACAGTTCAACCTGTATTCTTGAAAACCAGCAAGCAGACTTTTCCCATCCAGAGTAACCAGCAAGTTACACAAAATCCCAAGTCAGCCATAACTCTTTGGTACTATCTGCTGCTGTTAAATTTTGTTATGACAGCATTTTCAGTTACACCATTGCCCACTGTGTTTATACTGACATTAAGTAACATGCTAGTGGTAATTAAAATCCTACTCACTGTTCCTTCTGTAGAGCCCTTGAATAAGCTTTGAGCTCTAAAGCTCTGAATTTTACAGCTGACAAGTAGTTTATTGTTTATGGCAATCATGTGCAAATTTCTAAATTTATACACTATGAATTACCAATGAGAGCCAAAGGAACTCAGGCTGCAACAGATATATGCCCAGAGGGATGCCTAGGTTTTTAACCTATTTATAACACCATTTTGAAGAGGTTTGCATGAAATCAAGTTAGCCCAGAAATCAAAAGGAAACAGTAGTCAGGTAGGTAAGACAACAGAAACCAACTTGAATAAGGGAGTTAGTGTTTTTTCTCTTGCTGATGTGGATCTGCAAGGGAGGACCCCAGCAAAAGCACCTGTTTGTGGGATTTGCCTTTTTTTTTCCTCTGACATATTTCTCATGTTCCAGGAGCCTATATTTTGGGAATTTCCTTCTTCATAAATGAAACACAGGCCACGAAAACCAGACTGTTGAATACTAAAGCATAATACATTGCCTAAGAGTGAGCACAGGCAGGCAGGATGTGGCCACACTGCTCAGATAGTAGCTAACAAACTGTCTGGACTTAAGCTGTGTTCACCTGCTGGTCAGAGCTAGTTGGTCTCCTTGGGCTGACAATGATTTTTGGCCATGGCCTTCCCTATGTTATGCTTTTGAGAGAGTGAAAACAGTGCTTGGGAATCTTAATGCATTGCTGTGCTTGCAGTAATTTGATAGCAGATAGTGCCTGAGGCTTCGTGAATTCAAACTCCATGTGATTTACAAATTGTAATTTAAAATGTGCAAGTAATTAATTCTAAACATTTATGGTTATTTTCATGTTGTAAGCAACTGCACAAAATGCTGTTTGTATCAGCATAAATGACTACTTCAAGTATAAAGCTACAAATATTTGGATTTCTCCGTAGTCAGGAATTAAGTGCTCTGAATTTAGAGAATATGCATTTCATATAAAGTGCACATGCAAAAACATATGGTTGGCACCACTTGACAAAAAATATGTATACTGTATAGATGTGTAGCTTGGATAAAACAGATAAACATACCCATCAAGTTTATGTACACAAAAAAATCAAAAGTACCAATGAGGAACCATGGCAGTCAATGAAAAACCTTTCATTTTTCTTCAAACTAGAAAGAGTAATTTCATCAAAAATAATAATCTGACAATTTTGGTAAACTGTTTTGCATAAATGAGTTCTTGTTACAAGCGAGAAGCAAGCCTTGCTAAGCCTATAGCCAAGGATATGGTAACAACAAACCCAGTATCTTTAGAAACCTCCCCTTAAATTGGTTTAGGTATCTTTTGAACATTCAATCATTTTTACAAGGCTTTCCTCTCCTCACCAAACAAATGATTTCCAGAATACACTGTTCTGTATTCTATATGTCTTTTTTTTAATACAAAAAAATGATAAAATGTATATGCAAGCAAAGTAATGTTTATTGCATAACAAAAAAACCCCGACCTTTATACCCACCTAACCTTTCAAAACCAATTTAGAATCTGAATGTGAAGGATTGGAACTGGCTATTCCACTTTATAATGAAAAGTCCTCATGTGAAAGATCATATAACCATGTTACTCTTGCAACATAACTGACAAAAAGATATTTGTGACTTAAAGCACAACCTTAATAGTAATAAAGATTTTTTTCTTATGTCATTAGTAGTCATTTCCTTACCTCTTTATCACTAGCAACAGAATAGATGCAATTAAAAACTTCAGTGATATTTTATAAATTATCATCAAATGACATATTGTCATCTTGAGTCACATTTTATAAGTTTTATCAGTTAAAGAAAACTGGAGCTTTAAAGGGTTCTAAATAAACCATAAGCATAAATTATTTATCATGCCTTACTAAAAGTATCATTAAATTAGTTCTTTCTTTATTGAGGCTGGAGACCAGTTCCATTGAGAGAGATCTGGGGGTCCTGGTTGATGGCGAGTTGAATACGAGTTAGCAGTGCCCTGGCAGTCAGGAGGGTCAGCTGTGTCCTGCTCTGCACTGGTGCAGCCTCACCTTGAATACTGTGTGCAGTTTTGGATGTCTCAATATAAGGACATCAAACTATTAGAATGTGTGCAGAGGATGTTTCGAGGGCGAGACTTAGGAGGAGAGTCTGAGGTCACTTGGCTTGTTCACTCTAGAAAAGGTCGAGGGATGATCTTATCACAGTCCACATCTTACTCAAGGCAGGCAGCAGAGAGGGAGATGTTGATCTCCTTTATCTTATGACCAACAACAGGACAGAAGGGAATAGAATGATGTTGTGTCAGAGGAAGGTCAGACTGGGCATTAGAAAAAAGTTCTTCACTGAGAGGGTGGTCAGTCACTGGAACAGGTTCACCAGGAACCAAGCCTGTCGGGAGTTCAAGGAGCATCTCAATGATGCTCCTAGTCATATGGTTTTATTTTAGGTAGTTCTGCAAGGACCAGGGAGTTAGAGAAAAGGATCCTTATGGGTCCCTTCCAACTCGAGACGTTCTGTGCTTCTATGATTTATTCAATTCCTCATTAAAATTGGTATTTTTCTGTAGTTCATTTGTGAAAAAGTAGATAATTGTACCTCATTTAATCTTCAGTACAAAGAACACATGAATGGTTACCTTCACAAACACATGCTTTTTGTATTTGGGAAATGGTTAATATGAAGAGCTAGTTAAATGAATTTTTTAAAACAGGACTTTGAAATTACCATTTTAAAATGTCTTAAAATTTTAAAGTGTCTTACTGACAAAAAGTCTAAAAACAAGCCATAGTATATCAATGACAACTTTAAAAATAAATTT